GCACCCCACATTCCCCTCTGATCCCCCCACCCTGCCTGCAAAAGCAGGTACTGCCCACCCCGGATGTGGAGGGGGGAGAAGGCAAATTTGGCTGAAAATCCTCCCTAACTGGGTGAGTCAAACCCTCATGCTCCCTCCTAAGGGCCTGGTGAGGACCACAGCAGCTGCCCCTGTCACACCCCTCAGCCACCACTGCCACAGCCTTGCTGTCACCATACCACCACCATCACCCAACCTAGAAATTTCTTAACATTAAGCTAAAAAAATCCACCCTGGGAGTTCTAATAAGGGCTGCAATTCAAGGACCACCTTTCTCCAGACAGGCAGCACCAGCCCTGCACTCAAATCTTTCTCCATTAGCACACCTGTCTGGGGGTCAGCAGCTGTTTACCCCAAATATGAGAGAAAACAAGGGTTTGCTGGGTGCCCAGACCAGGCTGAGGCTCTGCTGGAAGTTGTGTTTTATTACCACAATAACCCTGAGATGATAAATATTTTGAAGTAGAAGAAAGGTGTTTATTTTTGAGTTAGTTCATCTTGTTTACAACCTGTTTAGAAGCCTGGGCATTTATCTTTGGGGCTGTTTACTGGGCTCTCCCCAGGCTGTTACAGGGTTTCATACACATTTATATAACCCCCAGCAAGGTATCTTCCTGCCAGCTGCATGTGGTGTCAGTTGCTGTTTTGACACAGCTATGCAAACGGTTGCTCTTGTTTTCACAAATGGGCTTGAATGCTCAGGTTCTGTTTTTACTACACCAGCCTCCAACATTTATTTATTTCATTTAATTCCCTTTCAATTGCAGGGTGATAAAACTTGGCTTTGGGCTCTCTGGCTGTCTCCAGCTGGGTGTTTGACCCGGGGTTGCCCAGGGGTGTTTGATAGTATTTTTTCATAACTTGTATTTTATCATTTATATCTTGTATTTTATTGATGTATAACCTGTCTTTTACTCATTTATTACCTGTCTTTTGTTTCTCAGACTTGGGGAAACTTGCCCCACATTTTGTGAGCCTGCAGGCTGCCCCTGTACCTTTCAGAAAGTTGGACTGAGGGATGAGCCCAGTACCTTTCAGAAAGTTGGACTGAGGGATGAGCCCAGTGAAAGGGCTGCCTGGCAGCAGGCAGGGACTAATTAGTTTAATTCAGTTAATGAGAGAGGATTCAAGGTGACCTGGCAGCAGGGCAGCAGCAGGAAGCCTCAGGCTGGTCCCCCTGTGGTGGTGGCCAGGGTGAGAAGAGTATGATGGGAGCAGTGTCATTGTCTCCCCTGGCCCCAAACCCCACAGGTGAGGGGTCAGTGGTGCCCAGCCTGGTGGGCCTGGATGCACTGGGATCTCTGGAGGGGGTGTGTGTGCATATATGTGTGAGCATGTGCAGCAGCTGGGACATCCCACACTGGGGCAGGGACCACCCTGTTAGGCAAGACCCCACTGGGGGTCCTGCCAGAGACCCTTCAGGGGACATCCAGGCTGTGGACACACACCCTACCACGGCACAGAGTCCCACTAGCCTTGGCAGTGGCCCCCAGTGAGTCCACCATCCACCTGGTTCACCACTACCACCACCACCCACCCTGCCCATTTTGGGCAGCATCAGGCCAGCCCAAGACCTCTCCCCCCAACTCAGGGACTGACGGCCCCACAAGGTGATGGCCTTGCAAAGTGACAGCCTGGCAAGGCAGAGGCAAGAGCTGCCACCATCTTAGGCTGAGCCAAGTCAGGGCGTGGTGCTTGCTTGTCTTCACACGTCAGCACCCACTGGAGACAGTTTCACTTCCCTTTTTGGGGCACCCTTTCAAATTTCTGATTGGGGACTGTAGTGGGTGAGGGATAAATTTAGCCAGGGGATGCCCCACAGTCACACAGCTGCATGGTGAGGCTGGCTTTGGGGGGAAATGGGGGGGCAGTGCTGGCGTGGCACAGCCTGGGCTCTGAACAGCCTTTCCCCGAGTCTTTCAGGGCAGGCGGCTACGTGAGCGGGGGGAATGTCAGGATGGGGTGCAGGAACCACCAGCTGCCCCTGCAGGTTCCTGGGGGCTGCACCCCCAGCTCAGGCAGGGCAGAGGCCATGGAGCTTGGCACAACTGCAGGACCAAAGCGAGAGGACTGTGCCGTCCCCCCCCACGGCCGCCCCAGTGGGTTTGGCTCTGCCCCGCTCCCCCCAGCCTGGGCTGGGCTATTCTGGGCCCCTGCTCTTGCTTTTGAGTTTCAGCCCTGCTGCCTCCAGGAACGTGGCTGTTTGTGGGGCTGCAGCTGTAGGGGGGAACAGGCGGGGACCTGTCCCCTCTGGCTGTGCCACGTCGCCCAGGTCTCTCCAGATCAGGTGTTTCATCAGCTGCAGGTGCACTCACTCTGCTCCTGCCACGTCCCCACAGAGACACCACCTCCTCCTGGCACAAGGCACTGGGACTTGCATGGCCTGGGGAAATCACCCAGTCATGTGCAATAAAAAAAGCAAACCAGATTTGTTTTTTGTGTGACAAAGCTGGCCAGAGGTCGTCCCATGGAGAGGGAGTGTTTGGGGAGCAGAGCAGAGCTTTGCCCTCAAGGCTGGGGGCAGCGGTTTGGTGTGAGGGTTGGAAGAGCTCATGTGATCCCACACAATGCCAATAAAGTTGTTTTGGGGTGCAAAGTTTCTGTTGGCACCTCAGGAGGGGTCAGGTCCTGCTGCCAGCTCCCTGCCAAAAAGCAGGAGGGAAGGACTGTGCAAATGTGTGGGTGTGGCACTTGGGGACTTGGTTTAGCAATGAACATGGTGGTACTGGGTTAATGGTTGGACTTGATGATCTTAGAGGACTTTTCCAGTCTGAATGATTCCATGATTCTATGAATTGAATCAAGTCTTAGGAAATGCTGGAACCCAGGGCTGGCAGTGCTGGGAGATCCCCGGCAGCACTGGGAGACATGAGGCTCCTTTTGCCAGCAGCAGGACCACTGTTTTGTTTAGGCCATCACTGCCCAACCTGGTATGTCCATGGGAACAAGAGATGGATGAAAGAAACTCAATTCCCCTCCAAGTTCCTCTTCAATTTGCTTTCCTGGCAGGTTTGGTGTTGCTGCCCCAAGAGAGCCCAGCGTGGGGAGTGCCCATCCCACAGGGATGGTGTTGGCTGGCTCCTAGCCTGCCCAGGGCAGGTGATTGCCAGCAGGATGCAGGGAGGAGACATGGGGGTTGTGGGTGTCCAAGTCCCTAGGATGGGCTTGGGGTCTGCCCCAAGTGGGGCTGACCTCTGCTCCTTGCTGCTCCTCAGTCTCCATGGCCAAGCTCCAGACATCCTTCCTATGCTCCAGTATCAATACAAGTTGGGGGGAGAGAGAATTGACAGCAGCCTGAAAAGGATTTGGGGCTCTTGGTGAATAAAAGCTGGGCATGACCTGGCCATGTGCACCTGCAGCTCAGAAAGCCAACAGTGCCCTGGGCTGCACCAAAAGCAGTGTGGGCAGCAGGTCGAGGAGGGGGATTGTGTCCCTGTACATCGCTTTGGTGAGACCCCACCTGGAGTACTGCATCCAGCTCTGGAGGCCCCAACATCAAAAGGACAGGGACCTGTTTGGGCCTGTCCAGAGGAGGCCACAAAGACCTCAAGAGTGCTGGAGCACTTGTGCTCTGAGGAAAGGCTGAGAGAGTTGGAGTTGTTCAGCCTGGAGAGAGAAGGCTGCAGGAAGAGCTTTTAGCAGCCTTTCAGTACTTGAAGGGGGCTTATATGAAAGATGGGAAGAGACTTTTTATCAGGTTCCCATGCAACAGGACAAGGGGTAATGTTTCTTAATTAAAGAAGGGTTGATTTAGGCCAGATAACTTACTGTGAGAGTGGTAAGGTGCTGGCAGAGATTGTGCAGGGAAGCTGTGGATGTCCCATCCCGGGAAATATTCAAGGTCAGGCTGGAAGGGGCTCTGAGGAACCTGATCTGTTTGAAGATGTCCCTGCTCATTCCAGGGAGTTGGACCGGATGATTTTTTAAGGTCCCTTCCAACTCAAACTATTTTACTGTTCTATGACTCTGTGTCCTCAGATGGCACCTGCAGGGACATGTGCCAACCCAAAACCTGTTGGGGTGAGGCATCCCACTGGCACAGCTTGGGGAGGAGGATGTGGTTGGCCCATTGCCCCTTTCCCAAGAGGCTGGTGAGAACTGTACACAGTGTGGCTGGGCACTCCCACCCCCTGTCCCTGGGGTGGCTCCTGCCTGCTCTGATGGGGTGACAGCAGCAGAGCACTGGCACTCTCAGCATAAGCATGGCCATCAGCCCCTCCATGTGCTGCAGGGCCACAGGGAAACTTCCGCAGGGCTGGGCTGGAGAAAGGGCACATGGCATGCAGGAGCCCATGCTGCTGTGGCACAGGGTGCAAGGGACAGATCGGTGCATGTGCTTGACTGGTGGCTACACTGGCACCCCTATTCTGGCAAGTGCAGGGGTGAGTGAGGAAATGGGGGCAGAGCCAGGGATGGCAGCAAAGGGACATGTCCCCATGCCCCCACCTCGGGCCACATGTTCCTGCAAGGCACCCAGAGGGCAGTGGTCAAGGGACAAGGATGGCACAGCCAGCGACATGTGCTTGATGATGGCATGGGGGTTTAGAGCAGGCTGTGCCCCAGGCTGCTCATCCCTTGGTCTTGGCCATGCAGGGGGGTTCATTGGGGTCCCCAGGGTTGAGCAGAAGCTGCACAGAGCCCCCCCAATATAAGTGTGTGTGTGTACACCTGTGTGTGTTCCCATCCCACCCACTGCCTGGTGGCACTGGGCTGACACCAGCCCGTGCGTGGGGAGCGGGCGCGTTGGAAGGACACAGAGACAGGGATGCTGAGCCAGCACTAGTTCAGTGTCGGTTTTTATTTGTCTGACACTCAGAGTGGGGGGACAGGAGCAGGGGACAGGGGGATGTGGGGAGCGAGGTGTGTGGCTGGGGTGAGCCACTGTCCCCAGAAGTGGGGAGGAGGGAGGGAGCCAGCAAAGGGCCGATGGATGCAAGGAGGTCCAGGTGGGTTTAGGGGCACTAGGATCTGTTCACTGTCTTCTCCACATTGCCAGCCTCGTGCTTGACCTTGCAGGAGTATGTGCTGTGACTTTGCCACTGGTTGGCATCCAGTGACAGGTAGCTGCTGGATAGGTACTGCCCGTTGCTCTGCCGCACGAGCTGACTGGTGTGCACGTTATTTGTCAGGAGGATGCCATCAGCCGCCCATTGCATTTTCACACGGTTGGGGTCGGGGTCTTGTATCAGACACACCAGGGTGGCTTGGTTCCTCTTCCGGAACTCCTTGGGGGATAGTGGGAAGAGGTGGGGGGTGGGAGGGGTCTTGGGCAGGCCTGCGAGGGAAGAGAGAGGTGTGGGGTCAGAGAGGGCCCTGTGCCCCACTACAGCCCCTGCCTATGCAGCTGGCACTACCCACAAACCCTGCTTCCCCCACAGCCAAGACCTTACCACTTATAATTTCAATGTCCTTAGATTTGGGAAATCCATCCAGATATTTATTTATTTATAATTTATATATATAATCTTTATATGTAAAATATGTGCATATATGTGTGTGTAATGCATGTACACATATACATACATCCCATATGGACTTCTATATATGTTTTATATACACTACCTGTACATATGTGGGCATATACATAGTATATATTACAGATATATACAGCTAATACACAGAATATTCATATTAAAGATCACACCTATAAAGTATGTGTGTAATGCATGTATACATCCCATATATTCTTGTATATGTGTTTTATATACTCTATCGCTACCTATATGTGCATATACATAGCGTATATTTCAGATATATACAGCTAGTACACATAATATACGTATATTAAAGACCACATCTATAAAGCATACAATATACTTACATATGTGGTACATATCATTATATGAAATGTAGAATTCTGTAAAACGCATATAACAAACATTTATGCAATTATGCCTTTCCTATATGCAATATATATTACATATTTTTATTTATAATATGCATAGCTAAATCTCTAGTTATTTGCCACAAGCCTATTTCTTTCCTTCTGCAAGGCCATTTGTTTTAAAAAAATAAAATTTCATAGGCAAATAACTCTGTTTTCTGCCCAGTTCTGCTTTCAGACAATTTCAGACTTGTCTCAGAAAAAGCACAAGGAAAAATCACACAAAAAAAGATGGAGAAAAGACATTTGGTCTTTCTGAGGTTTTTCTGCTGCCTCCTCCAAGGCACAGAGTCTCTATCTCTCTCTCATTTTATTTCTATCTCTCTCTATTTCTATCACTACTCAAAAACCAGGATGACTCCACCATTAAAAAATTTCTGCTTAAGAATGGTCAAAGAAGGTTTTTTTTTGATCTTATTCCCCAGTAATTTGGTTCAAATTGGGATTTTTTTATCAGATTCTTTTTAAAATTACAGACAAATGACATTCCCGGCAGCATTTTCAACACATTAATCCCCATTTTTGACATGACTTACCTGGACAATGGGCTCTTTGGGATACCCCTGAAGTTTTTTATTTAAGAACTCAGGGACGAGCTGTTCACGGCTGTCATTTCATAGCCCCTGCACCCTCAGCCACAGGACCCCACTGAGGAGCCCCTTTCTCTCACAGACTTAGTCCTCAGGACTAAGAGTTGACGACTTAGATTTTAGGCTGACAAATTTCTTTAACAAAGACAAAAATTGCCTCTTTTCGAGACCTAAACTGAAGTTTTCCTCTTCCTGAGACCTCAGACATATTTCCTGGTTGAATTTTAAGATCTTTCATGTCAGAATATACCCCCAGAATCCCTCGTGGCGTGAGCTGGAGTCCTCAGAGTCCATAGGGACAAGACCCAGCCCAAAACACTGCGCTTTATGCCCATCCCCAAACGGACGGCAGACCCCAGCCCAGCCCCAAGTCCAAGAAAAAACCCAAATCACCAAAAATCGACAAAATGTCACAATTTCACACCGAGGAAGGAAAGACCAAGAAGAAATTGGTGACTCACCTATGATGGTCAAATGGGTCCCGGCCCCAAATATAGGAGCATTACTGCTGCTGTCTCTGCCACCACAGTAATAGACAGCCTCGTCCTCGGGTTGGACCCCAGTGATGGTTAATGTGCCCGTGGAGCCGGACTTGGATCCGGAGAATCGCAAAGGGATGTCTAAGGGGCTGTTGTCATTTTCATAGATCACAGTGAGAAGGGCACTTCCTGGGACCTTCTGCTGGAACCAGTCATACCTGCCACTGCTCCCAGAACACAGGATATTGACGGTGTCTCCCACCCTGTGAGACAATGAGGGCGGCTGAGTCAGCGCTGCCTGGACCAGGGAACCTGAAAATGGAGAGGAGAGAGAGGGGAAGACGGGTCAGTCAAAGCCCCAGGGGCGCAGATACTGGGCAGAGGGATGGGACCCCTGTGCCCAAAGGCCCATCCAGGCACAGCAAGTCTGGCCATGGCACCTGAGGTGTGGGCAAGCACCGCGAGGAGGAGAGGGACCCAGGCCATGATGTGATCCCACCAGCTCCACGTCCTCACAATGATGGGGCTGTGCCGTGGACCTTGACTCCCTTTTAAGCCTCTGCCCCAGCAGGACACGGCCCCTCCATGAAAATCTGATCCTGCGCTCACGGCCGGATCCTGCCCACGCCTCTCTCGTCATCTCCCTCCCCGCTCCACGCACAGTCCCACCACCACAGGTGCAGCAGGGCTTGTCCCTGGACACTGAGCGGAGACACCTCCCAGCTCCAAGCCAAAATTCACCCCCACAGACCCCTCATTCCCAGTTCAGGCTGAGTGCCTGCAGGACCAAAAGCCAAAGGGTGAGGGAGAGATGGACACTACAGGCAGAGGGGGACTGTCGTGGTTTAAAAGAGGCCCCCCCCAGAGCTGGAAAATAGCTAGTTCCAGGAGTGGTGTATTTTGGCGCTTAGTCAATCACAACTTGATGTGCCTCTGTGTAAATGACATAGTACACAAGCTGGAAAATAAGCTTGTTTGTGTAGCTGGAATTGGAGAGATGCCATGAGATAGAGAAAGAGACCAGGGGCTCTTCCCCCCTGGTCCTGGCCAAGGGGCCAGGTGTGGCACTGCAGCCGGCCCTGACTCCCCAATGAGACTGGTGGTCAAAAGAAACCCCGAAAATTGTGGAGGCCCCTGGACTGTGGCATTTTCTTCCACACTCGCAGTGAAGGGGGGAAAACTGTCAGCAGAGGCAGCATGGAACAGTGAGCTGCAGCCGGAGCTGAGACTGGGTTCTGCCCAAAAGACTGTGAAGCAAAGATTAGAGAATTCCAGACAGCAAGAGGAGCTGCCTGGCGAGCAGCAAATATGACATGGAGCCAGACCGAGAGACGTAGGGACATCCTGCGGAGAGAGAGCTGAATGAGCAGAGAGATGAGAAGCCAGCTGGAACCATTTCTGGGGTAAGAACTGAGTCCAAAACCCCCAGAACCCTCTTGACCTGGGAAAGGAGGGGTGGAATCCTGCCTAGGGGACCCCCTGAACCTCCCGTGAAAGGAAACCTCCATGGAGCAGAAGATAAAGACTTTGAGCTTTAACTCCCTGTACCCTGTGGATGACGACCATGGTGATAATGAGCTTGTTTCCCTCGAAGCCCAAGGGTGAGCCCCTCGATTAGAACCGTGGGGCTGAGTGGGGGTGAGAGAGAGACCCCCTACACTTTGATGGAGAGAGAGAGAGATTTCCCAGCTACGGTGAATCGGAACTGCTGCCTTAAAGATGAGAGAAGAGACTGTGCTGCGCTGAAAGTGAAAAGACACCTTCTTCCTCCTGGACTTTATCAGGGGAGGGAGGGATGGTCTGTGTAAATACATTTTTTTATCATAGAAGAGTTATTGAAGAATGTTATATATATATTGCTTTATAGTTTTTTATTCTGTTAGCAATAAATTTTGATAGAATTCCCCATGCTGAGTGTGTCTGCCGGTGTGAAACTTCTCTCAACCTTGGAGCAAATTTTGAGGGGTTTGAAAATTGGCTTTTGGGGGCTAAAACCACAACAGGGACAGAAGCCATCACAGGTCCCAATGATGCCTCTGGGACAATATGAATCCCCAGCACTCCCACTTTTGATATTTTTGCCTCCTATGTGTGTCCTCTTTGGCTTGGACCCCAGCCATGAGGAATGTGGCCATGGAGATTAGTCTGTTCCCAAGCACTTCAGATGCCCTGCAAAAATGACAGGGGATGGGCACAGACCTGGGGCTGTATGGGATGTCTGAGCTGGGACACTGGGCACAGCCACCTGCAGCACAGGGCAGTAAGGGCAGGGCCATGGTGGGGACAGGGTTGCTGAAAGGTCATGGCAGCATTTCTTTGTTGAGGCTGTGGTCAAACACTCCACAGGCTTCCTAGAGAGTTGGATGATATCCCCAGCCTGCGTGTGTTGACAATGTCCTTCATTTTGGCAGCCCTGCAGTGTCCAGGCAGTTGAACAATGTAATCACTGAAGGGCTCTTCCACCTGAAATAGGTTATTAATTTCTTTCCTATGTGCTCTTTTCCACAAAAAGCAAGGGAAGTGCTCTGCTGGATGGTGCTGGGACACCAGGCACAGCCTCATTAGCACAGGGCAAAAAGGGTAGAGTCATGCCAGGGACCTGCCCTGCCATGAAATGGGGACAGCAGAGACTCCTAACTGGAGGAGGCAGAAGAGCTTTCTATCACTTCCCAGCTTCTCCAAGTGACTGTGGTAACACTGTTGCTACTACTTTTGTAGTTAGCACAGTAACAGACAGCCCCTTCCTTAGCTTGGACCCCAGTGATGGTTCAAGTGCTCACAGAGTCCGATGTGGATGCAGAGAATGGCAAAGGGACATCCGAGGGTCCCTGGGTGTTCTCACAGTTCGCAGTGACAGATGGAGGCGCTGCCAGGAACCTTCTCCTGAAACCAGTCATGGTACCAGCCAACCCTGGAACACATGACCTCAAAAGTTTGTGCCAGGATCGCTGACACCAAGGAGAGATGACACAACACTGCCTGGACCAAGGAACCTGGAGAGGAGAGATGGGAGAAAAGGACTTTCAGCCACTGATCCTGGAGCACACAGCCCTCTGAGGGCAGGGACAATTCTGCCTGCAGGCACACAGATTGGACACGCTGGGCCACAACAGGGCTGCTGGGAGGTCATAACTTCCTCAAATGCCAGGGGATGGGCACAGACCTGGGGCTGTAACAGACAGCTAAGCCAAGTGGGTTTTGTATCACTTCCCCATTGCTCCATGTCACTGTGGCAGCATCACTGCTGCTGTCCTTACCACCACAGAGATAAACAGCCTCATCCTCGGCCTGGGACCCAGTGATTGGTTAATGTGCCCGTTTTGCCTGATATGGGCCTGAGAATCCGAAGGTATGTTTCGAGGGTCGTTGGTGTTAGATAGAGTGTGGCACAGGTGCAAGGGACAGATCGATGCATGTGCGTGACTGGTGGTACACTGGGCACCCCTATCTGCAAGTGCAGGGGTGAGTGTGGAAAATGGGAAAGACCAGGATGGCAGCAAAAAGACTCTCCCCATTCCCCTACCACAGGCCACATGTTTCCTGGCAAGGCACCCAGAGGAAGTGGTCAAGGGCCAAGGATGGCACAGCCAGAGACTGTGCTGTGATGATGGCATGGGGGTTTCAGAGCAGGCTGTGACCCAGGCTTCTCATCCCCTGGTCTTGGCATGGCCATGGGGGGGGGGTCCAGTGGGTCCCCAGGTTGAGCAAGCTGCAAAGAGCCCCCCAATATAATGTGTGTGTGTGTACACCTGTGTGTGTTCCCATCCCACCCGCTGCCTGGTGGCACTGGGCTGACACCAGCCCGTGTGTGGGGAGCGGGCGCGTTGGAAGGACACAGAGACAGGGATGCTGAGCCAGCACTAGTTCAGTGTCGGTTTTTATTTGTCTGACACTCAGAGTGGGGGGACAGGAGCAGGGGACAGGGGGATGTGGGGAGCGAGGTGGGTGGCTGGGGGGAGCCACTGTCCCCAGAAGTGGGGAGGAGGGAGGGAGCCAGCAAAGGGATGGTGGATGCGAGGAGGTCCCAGTGGGTTTAGGGGCACTAGGATCTGTTCACTGTCTTCTCCACATTGCCAGCCTCGTGCTTGACCTTGCAGGAGTATGTGCTGTAACTTTGCCACTGTTTGGGAGTCAGTGACAGGTAGCTGCTGGCCATGTACTTGCTGTCGCTCTGCCGCACGGGCTGACTGGTCTGCACGTTGTTTGTGAGGGTGGTGCCGTCAGCCACCCATTCCACTTCCACATGGCCGGGGTAGAAGCCCTGTATCAGACACACCAGAATGGCTTTGTTCTCCTTCAAGATCTGCTCAGAGGGCGGCTGGAAGACGTAGAGGGTGGGAGAAACCTCGGGCTGGCCTGCGAGAGAAGAGAGAGGTGTGGGGTCAGAGAGGGCCCTGTGCCCCACCACAGCCCCTGCCTGTCCAGCTGGCACTACCCACAAACTCCCTGCTTCCCCCACAGTCAAGAGCTTACCACTTATATCTTCAATGTATTTAGATTTGGGAAATCCAACCATCCAATTATTTATTTATGTGTTTCTTTATTTATAATTTATATACATAATTTTTTTTTAAAGTTATATATTTTTATAAAATATGTGCATATATATGTGTGTAATGCATGTACACATATACATACATCCCATATAGACTTCTATATATGTTTTATATACTCTATCACTACCTATATGTGCATATACATAGCATATATTACAGATATATACAGCTAATACACATAATATACATATATTAAAGACTACATCTATAATGTATACAATATACTTACATATGTGGTACATATGTTTATATGAACATATATATAATTCTATAAAATGTATATAACAAACATTTATACATTTATGGCTTTCCTATATGCAATATACATTATATTACATAGTTTTATTTATAATATGCATAGCTAAATCTCTAGTTATTTGCTACAAACCTATTTCTTTCCTTTTGCAAGGCCATTTGTTTAAAAAAAAAAAAATCAAATTTCACAGACAAACAACTCTGTTTTCTGCCCAATTCTGCTTTCAGACAATTTCAAATGTCTCAGAAAAAGCACAAGGAAAAATCACACAAAAAAAGACGGAGAAAAGACATTTGGTCTTTCTGAGGTGGTTCTGCTGCCTCCTCCAATGCACAGTGTCTCTATCTCTCTCTCATTTTATTTCTATCTCTCTCTATTTCTATCTCTATTCAAAAAACAGGATGACTTCACCATTGAAAACTTTCTGCCTTAAAATGGTCAAAGAACTTTTTTTTTAATCTTAGTCCCCAGTAATTTGGTTCAAATTGGGATTTTTGATCACATTCTTTTAAAAATTATAGACAAAGACAGACAAATGACATTCCCAGCAGCATTTTCAACGCATTAATCCCCATTTTTGATGTGACAATGGGCTCTTTGGGATACCTCTGAAAGTTTTTATTTAAGAGCCCAGGGACGAGCTGTTCACGGCTGTCCTTTCACAACCCCTGCACCCCTGGCCACAGGACCCCACTGAGGAGCCCCTTTCTCTCACCGGTGGTGACAGACTTAGTCCTCAGGACTAAGAGTTGAGGACTTAGATCTTAGGCTGACAAATTTCTTTAACAAGGCAAAAATAGCCGCTTTTTGAGACCTAAAACTAAGTTTTCCTCTTCCTGAGACCTCAGACATATTTCCTGGGCAAATTTTAAGATCTTTCATGTCAGAAAATACCCCCAATCCTTTGTGGCTCAGAGTCCACAGGGACAAGACCCAGCCCAAAACCCTGCACTTCGTGCCCGTCCCCAAATGACTGGCAGACCCCAGTACAGCCGCAAGTCTGAGAAAAAAAAAACCCAAATCACCAAAAATTGACAAAATGTCACAATTTCGCACCGAGGAAGGAAAGACCAAGAAATTGGTGACTCACTTATAACGGTCACACGGGTCCCGGACCCGAACACATCCCAGTCAACACAGTAATAGTCAGCCTCGTCCTCGGCTTGGACCCCAGTGATGGTTAATGTGCCCGTGGAGCCGGACTTGGATCCGGAGAATCGCGAAGGGATGTTCGAGGGTCTGTTGCTATTAGCGTAGATCACAGTGACAGGGGCACTGCCAGGGACCTTTTGCTGGTACCAGTCATAGCTGTAGCTACTCCCAGAGCAGGTGATCTTGACAGTTTCTCCCACCCTGTGAGACAATGAGGACGGCTGAGTCAGTGCTGCCTGGATCAGAGAACCTGAAAATGGAGAGGAGAGAAAGGGGAAGACAGGGGTCAGTCAGTGCCCCAGGAGCACAGGGGCAGAGGGATGGGACCCCTGTGCCCAAAGTCCCATCCAGGCACAGTGAGTCCACCCATGGCACCTGAGGTGTGGGCGAGCACCACGAGGAGGAGAGGGACCCAGGCCATGGTGTGATCCCACCAGTTCCACGTCCCTGCAATGATGGGGCTGTGCTGTGGACCTTGACTCCCTTTTAAGCCTCCACCCCTCCAGGACACGGCCCCTCCATGAAAATCTGACCCCGCGCTCACAGCCGGATCCTTCCCGCGCTTCTCTCGTCACCTCCCTCCCCGCTCCACGCACAGCCCCACCACCACAGGTGCAGCAGGGCTTGTCCCTGGACACATAGCAGAGACACCTCCCAGCTCCAAGCCAAAATTCACCCCCACAGACCCCTCATTCCCAGCTCAGGCTGAGTGCCTGCAGGACCAAAGGCTGAAGGGTGAGGGAGAGATGGACACTGGAGACAGAGGGGGGTTTAAAAGAGCCCCCCCCAGAGCTGGAAAATAGCTAGTTCCAGGGGTGGTGTTTTTTGGCGCTGAGCCAATCACAACTTGATGCACCTCTGTGTAAATGACATAGTACACAAGCCGGAAAATAAGCTTGTTGGCAAAGCTGGAATTGGAGAGATGCCATGAGATAGAGAGGCAGACCGGGGGCTCTTCCCCACTGGTCCTGGCCAAGGGTCCAAGTGTGGCACAGCAGCTGGCCCTGACCCCTCGATGAGCCTGGTGGTCGAGAGAAACACCAAAAATTGTGGAGGCCCCTGGCCTGTGGCATTTTCTTCCACACTCGCAGTGGTGGTGGGAAAAACAGCAGCAGAGGCAGCACGGAATAGTGAGCTGCAGCTGGAGCTGAGACTGGGTTCTGCCCAAAAGACTGTGAAGCAAAGATCAGAGAATTGCAGAGAGCAAGAGGAGCTGCCTGGTGAGCAGCAAATATGACATGGAGCCAGACCGAGAGACACAAGGACGTCTTGCGAAGAGAGAGCTGAACGAGCAGAGAGATGAGAAACCTGCTGGAAATATTTCTGGGGTAAGAACTGAGTCCAAAACCCCCAGAACCCTCTTGACCCGGGAAAGGAGGGGTGGAATCCTGCTTAGGGGACCCCCTGGAACTCCCGTGGAAGGAAACCTCCATGGAGCAGAAGATAAAGACTTTGAGCTTCAACTCCCTGTACCCTGTGGATGATGACCATGGTGATAATGAGCTTGTTTCCCTCGAAGCCCAAGGGTGAGCCCCTCGATTAGAACCGTGGGGCTGAGTGGGGGCGAGAGAGAGACCCCCTACACTTTGATGGAGAGAGAGAGAGAGATTTCTCAGCTACGGTGAATCGGAACTGCTGCCTTAAAGATGAGAGAAGAGACTGTGCTGCGCTGAAAGTGAAAAGACACCTTCTTCCTCCTGGACTTTATCAGGGGAGGGAGGGATGGTCTGTGTAAATACATTTTTTTATCATAGAAGAGTTATTGAAGAATGTTATATATATATTGCTTTATAGTTTTATATTCTGTTAGCAATAAATTTTGATAGAATTCCCCATGCTGAGTGTGTCTGCCGGTGTGAAACTTCTCTCAACCTTGGAGCAAATTTTGAGGGGTTTGAAAATTGGCTTTTGGGGGCTAAAACCACAACAGGGACAGAAGCCATCACAGGTCCCAATGATGCCTCTGGGACAATATGAATCCCCAGCACTCCCACTTTTGATATTTTTGCCTCCTATGTGTGTCCTCTTTGGCTTGGACCCCAGCCATGAGGAATGTGGCCATGGAGATTAGTCTGTTCCCAAGCACTTCAGATGCCCTGCAAAAATGACAGGGGATGGGCACAGACCTGGGGCTGTATGGGATGTCTGAGCTGGGACACTGGGCACAGCCACCTGCAGCACAGGGCAGTAAGGGCAGGGCCATGGTGGGGACAGGGTTGCTGAAAGGTCATGGCAGCATTTCTTTGTTGAGGCTGTGGTCAAACACTCCACAGGCTTCCTAGAGAGTTGGATGATATCCCCAGCCTGCGTGTGTTGACAATGTCCTTCATTTTGGCAGCCCTGCAGTGTCCAGGCAGTTGAACAATGTAATCACTGAAGGGCTCTTCCACCTGAAATAGGTTATTAATTTCTTTCCCATGTACTCTTTTCCACAAAAAGCAAGGGAAGTGCTCTGCTGGATGGTGCTGGGACACCAGGCACAGCCTCATTAGCACAGGGCAAAAAGGGTAGAGTCATGCCAGGGACCTGCCCTGCCATGAAATGGGGACAGCAGAGACTCCTAACTGGAGGAGGCAGAAGAGCTTTCTATCACTTCCCAGCTTCTCCAAGTGACTGTGGTAACACTGTTGCTACTACTTTTGTAGTTAGCACAGTAACAGACAGCCCCTTCCTTAGCTTGGACCCCAGTGATGGTTCAAGTGCTCACAGAGTCCGATGTGGATGCAGAGAATGGCAAAGGGACATCCGAGGGTCCCTGGGTGTTCTCACAGTTCGCAGTGACAGATGGAGGCGCTGCCAGGAACCTTCTCCTGAAACCAACCATGGTACCAGCCAACCCTGGAACACATGACCTCAAAAGTTTGTGCCAGGATCGCTGACACCAAGGAGAGATGACACAACAGTGCCTGGACCAAGGAACCTGGAGAGGAGAGATGGGAGAAAAGGACTGTCAGCCACTGATCCTGGAGTACACGGCCCTCTGAGGGCAGGGGAACAGTGATGGGACAATTCTGCCTGCAGGCACACGGATTGGACACGCTGGGTCACAACAGGGCTGCTGGGAGGTCATAACTTCCTCAAATGCCAGGGGATGGGCACAGACCTGGGGCTGTAACAGACAGCTAAGCCAAGTGGGTTTTGTATCACTTCCCCATTGCTCCATGTCACTGTGGCAGCATCACTGCTGCTGTCCTTACCACCACAGAGATAGAACAGCCTCATCCTCGGCTGGGACCCCAGTGATGGTTAATGTGCCCGTGTTGCCGGATGTGGATCCGGAGAATCGCGAAGGGATGTTCGAGGGTCTGTTGGTGTTAGAATAGATTGTGGCACAGGGTGCAAGGGACAGATCGGTGCATGTGCTTGACTGGTGGCTACACTGGCACCCCTATTCTGGCAAGTGCAGGGGTGAGTGTGGAAATGGGGGCAGAGCCAGGGATGGCAGCAAAAAGACATCTCCCCATGCCCCTACCACAGGCCACATGTTCCTGCAAGGCACCCAGAGGGCAGTGGTCAAGGGACAAGGATGGCACAGCCAGGGACATGTGCTTGATGATGGCATGGGGATTTAGAGCAGGCTGTGCCCCAGGCTGCTCATCCCCTGGTCTTGGCCATGCCAGGGGGGTTCATTGGGGTCCCCAGGGTTGAGCAGAAGCTGCACAGAGCCCCCCAGTATAACTGTGTGTGTGTGTGTACACATGTGTGTGTTCCCATTCCACCCACTGCCTGGTGGCACTGGGCTGACACCAGCCCGTGTGTGGGGAGCGGGCGCGTTGGAAGGACACAGAGACAGGGATGCTGAGCCAGCACTAGTTCAGTGTCGGTTTTTATTTGTCTGACACTTGTAGTGGGGAAATCGGTGCAGGGGACAGGGGGATGTGGGGAGTGAGGTGTGTGGCTGGGGTGAGCCACTGTCCCCAGAAGTGGGGAGGAGGGAGGGAGCCAGCAAAGGGCCGGTGGGTGCAAGGAGGTCCAGGTGGGCTTAGGGGCACTAGGATCTGTTCACTGTCTTCTCCACATTGCCAGCCTCGTGCTTGACCTTGCAGGAGAATGTGCTGAAATTTTGCCACTGGTTGGCATCCAGTGTCAGGTAGCTGCTGGCCATGTACTTGCTGTCGCTCTGCCGCACGGGCTGACTGGTCTGCACGTTGTTTGTGAGGACGGTGCCGTCAGCCACCCATTCCACTTCCACAGGGCTGGGGTAAAAGCCCTGTATCAGACACACTAGAATGGCTTTGTTCTCCTTCAAGATCTGCTCAGAGGGCGGTTGGAAGACGTAGAGGTTGGGAGCGACCACGGGCTGGCCTGCGAGAGAAGAGAGAGGTGTGGGGTCAGAGAGGGCCCTGTGCCCCACCACAGCCCCTGCCTGTCCAGCTGGCACTACCCACAAACTCCCTGCTTCCCCCACAGCCAAGAGCTTACCACTTATAATTTCAATGTATTTAGATTTGGGAAATCCATCCATCCACTTATTTATTTATGTATTTATTTATTTATTTATAATTTTTTTTAAAAAGTTATAAATTTTTATACAATATATGCATATATATGTGTGTAATGCATGTATACATCCCATATATTCTTGTATATGTGTTTTATATACTCTATCGCTACCTATATGTGCATATACATAGCGTATATTTCAGATATATACAGCTAGTACACATAATATACGTATATTAAAGACCACATCTATAAAGTATACAATATACTTACATATATGGTACATATCATTATATGAATAGATGTAGAATTCTATAAAATGCATATAACAAACATTTATGCATTTATGCCTTTCCTATATGCAATATATATTATATTACATAATTTTATTTATAATATGCATAGCTAAAGCTCTAGTTATTTGCCACAAACCTATTTCTTTCCTTTTGAAAGGCCATTTGTTTAAAAAAAAAAAATCAAATTTCACAGAAAAACAACTCTGTTTTCTGCCCAGTTCTGCTTTCAGACTATTTCAGACTTGTCTCAGAAAAAGCACAAGGAAAAATCACACAAAAAAAGATGGAGAAAAGATCTTTGGTCTTTCTGAGGTGGTTCTGCTGCCTCCTCCAATTAACAGTGTCTATATCTCTATCTCTCTCTATTTCTATCTCTATTCAAAAACCAGGATGACTTCACCATTAAAAAATTTCTGCTTAAGAATGGTCAAAAAACAGGTTTTTTTTATCTTAGTCCCCAGTAATTTGGTTCAAATTGGGATTTTTGATCACATTCTTTTAAAAATTATAGACAAAGACAGACAAATGACATTCCCGGCAGCATTGTCAACACATTAATCCCCATTTTTGACGTGACTTACCTGGACAATGGGCTCTTTGGGATACCCCTGAAAGTTTTTATTTAAGAACTCAGGGACGAGCTGTTCACGGCTGTTCTTTCACAGCCCCTGCACCCTCGGCCACAGGACCCCACTGAGGAGCCCCTTTCTCTCACCGGTGGTGACAGACTTAGTCCTCAGGACTAAGAGTTGAGGACTTAGGTTTTGGACTGACAAATTTCTTTAACAAAGATAAAAATCACCTCTTTTAAAGACCTAAACTGAAGTTTTCCTCTTCCTGAGACCTCAGACATATTTCCTGGGCAAATTTTAAGATCTTCCATGTCAGAATATACCCCCCAATCCTTCATGGTGCACGCCAGAATCCTCAGAGTCAGTAGGAACAAGACCCAGTCCAAAACCCTGCATTTTGTGCCTGTCCCCAAACAGGCGACAGACCCCCCAGCCCAGCCCCAAGTCTGAGAAAAAACCCCAAATAACCAAAAATTGAAAAAATGTCACAATTTCGCACCGAGGAAGGAAAGACCAAGAAACTGGCGACTCACCTGCGATGGTCAACATGGTCCCAGCCCCGAATATACCAGCAGGAATGCTGCTGTCCCAGCTACCACAGAAATAGAGACCCTCGTCCTCGGCTTGGACCCCAGTGATGGTTAACGTGGCCGTGGAGCCGGATTTGGATCCGGAGAATCGCGAAGGGATGCTCAAGGGTCTGTTGCTATTGGCGTAGATCACAGTGACAGGGGCACTGCCAGGGACCTTTTGCTGGTACCAGTCATAGCTGTAGCTACTCCCAGAGCAGGTGATCTTGACGGTTTCTCCCACCCTGTGAGACAATGAGGACGGCTGAGTCAGCGCTGCCTGGATCAGAGAACCTGAAAATGGAGAGGAGAGAAAGGGGAAGACAGAGGTCAGTCAGTGCCCCAGGAGCACAGGGGCAGAGGGATGGGACCCCTGTGCCCAAAGTCCCATCCAGGCATGGAGAGTCCACCCATGGCACCTGATGTGTGGGCGAGCACCACGAGGAGGAGAGGGACCCAGGCCATGATGTGATCCCACCAGCTCCACGTCCTCACAATGATGGGGCTGTGCCGCGGACCCTGACTCCCTTTTAAGCCTCCGCCCCTCAAGGACACGGCCCCTCCGTGTAAATCTGACCCTGCGCTCACGACCGGATCCTGCCCATGCCTCTCTCGTCATCTCCCTCCCTGCTCCACGCACAGCCCCACCACCACAGGTGCAGCAGGACTTGTCCCTGGGCACATAGCGGAGACACGTCCCAGCTCCAAGCCAAAATTCACCCCCACAGACCCCTCATTCCCAGCTCAGGCTGAGTGCCTGCAGGACCAAAGGGTGAGGGAGAGATGGACACTGGAGACAGAGGGGGGTTTAAAAGAGCCCCCCCCGTAGAGCTGGAAAATAGCTAGTTCCAGGGGTGGTGTATCTTGGCACTGAGCCAATCACGACTTGATGTGCCTCTGTGTAAACAACATATTACACAAGTTGGAAAATAAGCTTGTTGGCATAGCTGGAATTGGAGAGATGCCATGTGATAGGAGAGGGAGACTGGGGGCTCTTCCCCCCTGGTCCTGGCCTCCATGCCCGAGGCTCCCATGGGCTGACAAACACCCACACACCCAGTCCTGAGCACCCAGGGTGGCTGCAATGGCACAGGGCCCCAGGCAGGACTCAGGTTGGGACAGCAGAAATGTGGCAAAGGTTTTCTTAGCCAGCTCCTCAGGCTCCAGCTCTAACACTGTCTCAGTGCTCCTCTGCCCCTCACATGGATATTGGGCAGTGGGGATGAGCCCAGACAGGGCTTCTGCAGCACCAGGAACATAGTCATAGAATCATAGAATGGTTTGGGGTGAAAGGGACCTTCAAGACCACCTAGTTCCAAGCCCCTCCCATGGGCAGGGACACCTTCCACTAGACCAGGTTGCACAAAGCCTCATCCAAGCCTGCCTTGAATACTTTCAGGGATAGGGCATCCACAATTTCTCTAGGAAACCAGCTCTAATGCCTCATCACAGTCACAGCCCTGAGACATGGAATACACAGGGAAGGGCATCAGGAAAGGAAAGGAAAGAAAAGGAAAAGCCCCAAAGCTGGAGAGGTGGTCTGGAGCCTGCCTGGCTGAATGGAAGGAGGAGACAAAATCAGCCTCTTTGATGCTTGAGATTTCACTTGCCTGTGGCTCAGTGTCACCATGACATCAGCCACTGCTGCTTTTGTGGCTGCCACACTAATAGACAGCCTTGTTCTTGGCTTGGACCCCAGTGATCCTGTGGAACCAGTCACAGCACTGGAGATCATGAAGGCTGAGGGTCTCCCATCATTCCAGTAGATCACAGTGACAGGGGCACTGCCAGGGACCTTCTGCTGGTACCAGCCATAGTTGCTGCTACTTCCAGAGCAGCTGATCCTGACAGTGTCTCCCCAGGTTGGCTGAGGCTGAGGATGGCTGACTCAGCAATGCTGCTTGGACCAGGGAACTTGGAGAGGGAGAAGAGAAAGGGGAGAAGGGTGAGGGGTTGAGCCAGTGCCCTGGGAGAACAGCTGCCCCCAGGCAGAGGGATGGGGAATGCCACAGTCAGAAGAGAATGGACCTGGACATGGTCACAGGCACATTTGTGGAGCAGAGCCCAGTCCAACACATCCCTGCACAGAGGCAGCTCAGGCAGCAGCAGGAGGACATGGTCATCAGTAGTAGGACAGAGTGGAGTGATGGACAAGGCTACATTGTGATCTATACTGTGACAAAGAAATGCTCTCCAGACATGGGGGAGATCAAGAGAACCTGCAGCTCTGTGGGACACAGAAAAGGGGATGTTCTGCATCACTTCCTGTTACCTGTTGGCACCACACACCATAGCCACCACTGCTGCTGTCCAAGCCACCACAGAAATAGACAGCCTCGTCCTCGGCTTGGACCCCAGTGATGGTTAATGTGCCCGTGGAGCCGGACTGGGATCCGGAGAATCGCGAAGGGATGTCTGAGGGTCTGTTGCTATTAGCATAGATCACAGTGACAGGGGCACTGCCAGGGACCTTCTGCTGGTACCAGCCATAGTTGTAGCTGCCCCCAGAGCAGGTGATCTTCACAGTGTCTCCCACTTTGGCTGACATCGGAGGTGACTGACAGGACATCTGTACCAAGGATGCATAACGAGATGAGGAGAGGGACAAGGCCAGCCCTGGGCCACGTGCCCAGGGAACAGCGCCCAGCATAGAATGGGAATGGGTTCAGGGTCCTGAGGGACCCTTACTTTTGTGGGGCTATAGTGGGACATTGTCCAGGGCCAGGGTATTCCCTTGGGGCCAGAAGTGCTGGAGGCTCCTGCACAGGCTGAACATGAGCCCACTGGGCTGGCACTGAGCAAACACAGACAACACAGAAATAGCCTGTGGGCTCCTCTTGCAGTATAACCCCTGACCAGCCCTGCTCTGCCCTGGCAGCCTCAGGCATGACCCCAGAATTCCAATGCCCATGGGAAATGTCCCTTCCCAGGCTTTGAAGGCAAAGCTTTGGCCCAGCTCACTGGCCTAGGGCACATCCCCATCCCTTGATGCTGGGCCAGCAGGTCTGAGGCCCTTGGGGTGATGGCCCAGGGGCTTCTCACACAGTTGGGCTGGGAGATGGGCAGGGAAGCAGCTGGCCGGGCCCTGGGCACGAACGGGAGAGAGCAGGGGGACCTTGGACCTGGAGCACAGGGCAGGGAGGTTGCTGGGAGGTCATGCCAGCATTTCTTTACTGAGAGTGAGTTCAAACACTCGACAGGCTTCCTAGAGAATTGGATCATATCCCAAGCCTGACAGTGTTGTAGAGGCATTGGGACAATGCCCTTCATTTTGGCCAGCCCTGCAGTGACCAGGCAGTTAGACTATGTGATCATTGAAGGGCTCTTCCATCTGAAGTAGTCTATTAAGTTCTATCCTGTCTACTCTCCTCCACAAATGACAAGGGAAGGATTCTACTGGATGGTGCCGGGACACCAGGCACAGCCACATTAGCACAGGGCAGCAAGGGCAGAGTCATGCCAGGGACCTGTCCCACCACCAAACAGGGACAGCAGAGACAGCAGCCCCTGCCATGGCGGGAGGGCTTTGTATCACTTCTTCATTGCTCCATGTCACCGTGGTAAGATAATTACTGCTGCTTTCGTAGTTACCACAGAAATAGACAGCCTCGTCCTCGGCTTGGACCCCAGTGATGGTTAATGTGGCCGTGGAGTCGGACTTGGATCCGGAGAATCGCGAAGGGATGTCCGAGGGTCTCCTGTCATTGTAGTAGATCACAGTGACAGGGGCACTGCCAGGGACCTTCTGCTGGTACCAGCCATAGTAGCTGCCACCCCCAGAGCAGGTGATCTTGATGGTTTCTCCCACATTGGCTGAGACTGAGAACAGCTGACTCAGCAGTGCTGCCTGGACCAGGGAATGTGGAGAAGGAAAGAAGAGGAGGGAGAAAAGGAGGGTCAGCCATTAAACTAGAAGCACAGATCTGCACAGACATGGTTACAGGGAATGCCACAGTTAGATGAGAATGGATCTGGACATTTCACAGGTACATTTGGAGACAAAGCTATACCATGAGTTTTATAGGGACCAGGACAATAGTCCACAGCCACAAAGTCACCGCCAGGGCTCTAGGAAATAAAAGGAGTGGATTTAATAGACACAGTAGTGCATAGGAGACAAAAGCCTGACCTAGCCCTACATCCACATCTCTGCATGGTCATGAGAAGGACAGAAAAACTCCATTTTTAAGTCCCCTGTACTTAGCTTTAAAATCTCTCTGTGTCACTATACCAGTACCACTGCTGCTGTCGTAGCTACCACAGTAATAGACAGCCTCATCCTCGGCTTGGACCCCAGTGATGGTTAATGTGACCTTGGAGTCGGACTTGGATCCGGAGAATCGCGAAGGGATGTCCGAGGGTCTCTTGTTGTCGAGATAGATCACAGTGACAGGGGCATTGCCAGGGACCTTCTGCTGGTACCAGCCATAATAGTTGATGCTACCCCCAGAGCAGGTGATCTTGACAGTTTCTCCACGCTGTGAGACAATAAGGACGGCTGAGTCAGCGATGCTGCCTGGACCAGGGAACGTGGAAAGGGAGAGTCACACAGTTTCAAAGAGTACAGAACTATCTGGACAAGGTTACATGGAATGCCACAGTCAGAGCACACTCATGGACATGGTCACAGGGAAACTGTGGAGCAGAGCCCAGTCCAACACATCCCAGCACAGAGGCAGCCCTGGCAGAAACACGAGGACATGGTCATCAGCAGCAAGACACAGTGGGGTGAGGAACACAACTACACCATGAGTTTTATAGGGACCAGGACAATGGTCCCCAGCCACCATGTGATCTCCCATTCTCTGGGACAAGAAAGAAACAACATTCCCTGTTGTGGCTGTGCAGAAGGGACAGGAACCTGCCTCAGCCCCACATCCAGAAAGGAGGGACAGGGGTTAAAATCTTTCCTCTCATTTTGGAGTCTGCCTCACTTCCTGGTGCTTGTTGTCAAAACACACCATAGCTGCTGCCACTGCTGCTGTCTGTGCCACCACAGAAATAGACAGCCTCGTCCTCGGCTTGGACCCCAGTGATGGTTAATGTGCCCGTGTTGCCGGACTCTGATCCGGAGAATCGTGAAGGGATGTCTGAGGGTCTGTTGCTATTAGCGTAGATCACAGTGACAGGGGCAGTGCCAGGCAATGTCAGGCAGCATAACCCCAGCTGCTGCTACTCCCAGAGCAGTCGATCTTGATGGTGTCTCCCACTTTGGCTGACGTGCGAGGTGACTGAGTCAGCACTGCCTGGACCAGGGAACCTGAAAAGGGAGAGGAGAGAGAAGAAAAGACAGGGGTCAGTCAAAGCCCCAGGAGCACAATCCTCCCTGGGCAGAGGGACAGGACCCCTGTGCCCAAAGGCCCCATCCAGGTACAGCAAGTCTGGCCATGGCACCTGAGGTGTGAGCGAGCACCGCGAGGAGGAGAGGGACCCAGGCCATGGTGTGATCCCACCAGCTCCATGTCCCTGCAATGATGGGGTTGTGTTGTGGACCCTGACTCCCTTTTAAGCCCCCACCTGCCCAGGCACAGCCCCTCCCTGGATATGTGGCCATCAGTGTTCCCTGGAGCTCTTGCCTCAGTGCTCCCCCTGCCCACTGCAGGCTCCTCTGGCCCACCAAAAGGCAGCATGATCACTCTGGGCTGCCTGCTCCTTCCCCAACATCGCTGCTGAGCTCTGAGCTCAGCCAAGGACCACCCAGTCTGTGTTCCTGCCCAGTAGGACCATGGCCTGGCTGCACCAGGAACTCCTGTGTACAGGGCTGATAACAACACCATGATCACTGCAGGCCACCTGCTTCCCCGGCCACTCAGCTGGAAAAGACACATTCTGCTGCACACCAAGGCACTACAAGTGGGTGTCTCTCAGGAGTCACAAGACTACAACCCCCTCAGTCCTGGTATCTGGCAAAGGCCCCTCAGTCTTTGCAAAGATCCATGTCAAGGGACAGCAGGAACACTTTTCTACCTCATCTTGTCCATGCACCCTCTGCAGCCACCTCCTCCCTGCCTGTGACCCTGGCCTCACCCACCCCCCAAGCACCTCTGCAGCAGCACAGCTCCTTCAGCCGCTCCCCTTCCCACACAGGGGCTTGTCTGCAGGGTTCTGCTCCCTCAGCTGGCCCAGCCCATTGCCCACACAGCACACACTGCCCCCAGCACACCCCTCTGCAGGCACTGCTCTGGCACTGCTCCTAACCTTGGGATGGGCACAGACCTGGAGCTCTAAGGGGTGTCCAAGCTGAGACATCAGGCACAGTCACTTTAAGCACAGGGCAACAAGGGCAGGGCCATGATGGGGACCTGGTCCACCATCAAATAGGAACAGCAGAGACGCCTGACTGAGGTCTGCAATGGCAAGAGATTTTGGGATCACTTCCCCATTGCTCCGTGTGACTGTGGAATCACTGCTGCTGTCCCAGCTACCACAGTAATAGACAGCCACGTCCTTGGCTTGGATCCCAGTGATGGTTAATGTGGCCGTTGATCTGGACAAGGATCCGGAGAATCGCAAAGGCATGTCTGAGGGTCTCTTGTCATTTTCATAGATCACAGTGACAGGGGCACTGCCAGGGACCTTCTGCTGGTACCAGTCAGCATTAGGCCAGTTACTGCTAAGGCCAGGGCAGGTGATCTTGACGGTGTCTCCCACCTTGTGAGACAATGAGGACAGCTGAGTCAGCGCTGCCTGGACCAGGGAACCTGGAGAGAGAGAAGAGAGAGGAGAGAAGATGTGAGTCAGTCAGTGCTCCAGGAGCACAGTCCTCCCTGGGCAGGGGGATGGGACCCCTGTGCCCAAAGGCCCCATCCAGGCACAGCAAGTCTGGCCATGGCACCTGAGGTGTAGGTGAGCACCGCGAGGAGGAGAGGGACCCAGGCCATGGTGTGATCCCACCAGCTCCACATCCCTGCAACGATGAAGCAGTGCTGTGAACCCTGACGCACATTTAGAGTCTCCACCTGCCCAGGCACAGCCCCTCCCTGAATATGTGGCCATCAGTGTTCACTGGAGCTCTTGCCCCAGTGCTCCCCCTGCCCACTGCAGGCTCCTCTGAGGACACATCCACCTGCCCTGCAGCACCCAAGTCTGCTTGGTGCTTCCTGGTCCCCGGGTGCCCACGCTACCTGTGCACTGATCAGCAGCAGTGACAGAGGAGCTGGGCAAAACAGGTCCTGCTTCAAACCAGGTGCTTACACTGGGCCTCTCTTCATTGCCACAAGGGAACCTCCAAGCAGAGAACTGGGACTGTGGAAGGGCACTGGAGCCACACCAAGACCAGGAGCTTCAAGGCTACCTGACGGGAAGGAAACACAAGCCCTCAGGTCCTCCAGATTCAAACTGGGGGTCTCAAGTGGCCTCACAGCCACTTGGAGTTCATATCAATTAACTGCCCGTAGCATCCTCCCACTCTTGTCCAGCCTGGAGCAGCCCCTCTGCTGTCTGCCCACCACACAGCCCAGGGCAGCCTCCAAAGGAGCCAGTGGGGGCTGCTCTGCACCACAGTGTTACACACTGGCACCTGGTTGTCCACAGCCCCTTTGCCTCCTGGCAGCCCTGTGAACCTCAGACTGGGCAGTGGAACCACACTGACACCGTGTGGGGACAAGAAGGGCCTCAGGGACAGCGCTGGAGGAACTGAGACCACAGTCTGGCACGGGACTTTGCCCTTGCTGTCTCTCACCTCTGCCACAGCTCCCACCAGGTCCAGAGATTCCTGGCCATGGTATTTGTGGGGAGAAGTACCCAGTCACAGTTGTGCATTATCCAGGAGCTGTGACACTTCCATACCCTCCAGCACCAGCAGAAGGATCGATGCCACTCACACAAAGCAAACAGCAACAGTCATCCCAGAGCACCCAAGCATGGCCACACTATGGGGCACTTGGATGCCAACCAGCACTGCCCTCCTGGGCATTGCAGTGACCGAGAGCCTCGTCCTTGGCTTGGACCCCAGTGATGGTTAACGTGCCCGTGTTGTCAGACCAGGAGAATTGCGAAGGGATGTCCGAGGGTCTGGTGTCAGTGTCATAGATCACAGTGACAGGAGCACTGCCAGGAACCTTCTGCTGGTACCAGCCATACAAGCTGTTGCTCCCCCTGGAACAGGAGATCCCAGGTGTGCTGGCACCAAGGACGGCGGACTTAACAATGCTTCCTGGAGCAGGGAACACAGAGAGTGAGGGAAGATGAGGGGCCTCAGCCATTGTCCCAGGAGCACAGCCCTCCCCAGGGCATCGGGACTGGGGCCTTGTGCCCAAAGGTCCCATAGTGAGATGGACGAGCCCAGAGTCACCCACAAAGAACCCAAGGTGTGAGGGTCCTGCAAGGAGAAATGGCAGCAGTAAGAGGAGGCAGAATGCCAGAGTCAGTGCCTCCACCGAGCTGACCAGCACTGCTGCCGTCGTAGCTACCACAGAAATAGACAACCTCGTCCTCGGCTTGGACCCCAGTGATGGTTAATGTGGCCGTGGAGCCGGACTTGGATCCGGAGAATCGCGAAGGGATGTCCGAGGGTCTCTTGTCATTGAGATAGATCACAGTGACAGGGGCACTGCCAGGGACCTTCTGCTGTTACAGCCATACAAGTTGATGCTACTTCCAGAGCAGGTGATCTTCACAGTGTCTCCCACACTGGCTGACACCAAGGACAG